ACGAATATATTTTTCGTCTCATAAGGTTAAGTTGTGGAAGATAAAAATATTTCATCACCAATAGTAAATTCTTTGTTCTGGTATTGAAGGATACAAAAATATTTTATCACTAATCATTTTTCTTTATTAAAATGCCGTGGTTTTGTATTTCAAAGCATTGGAACTGTGACCCCAAGAGATACACTCTGATGCTTATCACTCATTTTCATGTACACGGACCTTGAAGTCGTGACCCAAGAAAACACTTTCTACAAACCCTCATTTCTCTCTCACACTTGAGTCTACTCCTCTCTCACAAGTATTGAAGTCGTGACTCAAGAAGACACTCTGTAAACCATTTTTTCTATTTCGCGCTAAAGCCCCTCTCTTCTGTCTCACACTTAAGCCCTTCGTGCATGCTAGCATTGAAGCTATTATCCAAGAAGGTACCCTATGCAAACCCACTATTCTTTCTCACAGTGAAGGCCCCTCTTGCACGCAAGCACTTTTTCTCATTGTCGGAACCAACTCTATCCTTTCCGTCTAGAACACTCATTTCAGAAAAATCGAAGGTCAAAACCTCTCTCCACAAAAAAAGAAAAAGAAAAAGATAATTAATGTAGCTATTTTTTTTTTGTGAGAAAAAATACAGAGAAACAAATAATAAAAAATTTGTAATTTTCAAAATTAATAGAAAACATTACCTTGTTTAGTATGGAGTTTTCAATAATTAATTTTTAAAACTTAGTGATAAAATTTATTTTCGTTTTAGAATGTAACCCAAACATGACCAAATATTACTTTTGTTGTTTCTTTTAATTGTTTTCAAAACTATAGGAGATGAAAAAATAAATTTGTCAAAAAAAAAAAAGAGGCACCAATTTTTTTTCTTGTTGGCACCAATTATTTTAGCTCATTAGAGACGAACATTTTTGTCACAAAATTTAAAGTTTTTTGTGACAAAAGGAATTCGTGACCAATAAATTCCAAACTTATTAGACGATGTCGTTTCATTTTTTTATTTATTTGGTGACAAATATATTTTTTGTCTGGGAAGGATAAGTTATGGAAGACGAAAAAATTTCATCACCAATAAACCCTTCATGCTCCTTTTATCTTTCTGTTAATTAGGCGACAAATATATTTTTGTCTTGGAAGGATATGTTTTGGGAGACGAAAATATTTCATTACTAATAAATTCTCCATGTGTCGTGTTGCATTTTGATTGATTGTGCGACGAATATATTTTCGTCTCATAAGGTTAAGTTAAAGGAAACGAAAATATTTCATCACCAATAAACCCTTCATGCTCATTTTATCTTTCTGTTAATTAGGCGACAAATATATTTTTGTCTCGGAAGGATATGTTTTGGGAGATGAAAATATTTCGTCACTAATAAATTCTGATTGATTGCGCGATGAATATATTTTTCGTCTCATAAGGTTATGTTGTGGAAGACAAAAATATTTCGTCACCAATAATAAATTCTCTGTTCTTGTATTTAAGGAGACAAAAATATTTTATCACTAATTATTTCTCTTTATTAAAATGCTATGGTTTTGTGTTTCGGAGCACTAAAACCGTGACCCCAAGAGACACACTCTGACCCTTATCACTCATTTTCATGTGCACGGACACTCAAGTCATGACCCAAGAAGACACTTCCTACAAACCCTCATTTCTCTCTCGCACTTGAGCCTACTCCTCTCTCACAAGTATTGAAGTCGTGAAGCAAGAAGACACTCTGTAAACCATTTCTTTTATTTTCGCACTAAAGCCCCTCTCATATGTCTCACACTTAAGCCCTTCATGCATGTTAGTATTGAAAGCTATTATCCAAGAAGGCACCCTATGCAAAACCGACTATTTTTTCTCATAGTGAAGGTGCCCCTTGCATAAGCACTTTTTCTCATTATCTAAACCAATTCTACCATTTTCATCTAGAACACACATTTTAGAAAAATCGCAGGTCAAAACCCCTTTCCACAAAAAAAAGAAAAGAAGATAATTAATGTAACTTTTTTTTTGTGAGAAAAAAAAACAGAGGAAAAATTAATAATAATTTTTTAATTTTCAAAATTAATAAAAAAACATTACCTTGTTTAATATGCAGTTTTCAATAATTAACTTTTGATTTTTAATCTATATTTTTTTAGTGAACATTTTTTAATATTATAATTTTTTTTTCTTTTCTTTTTTTAACTTTTTAAATCCCTTTAATTTAGATGAGGGCAAATTGCAGCAGTTGTCCCGATACTTTGGTCCTTGTGTCATATAAACGTTATGTTCCATATTTATATCTATCTATCTATCTATCTATATATTATAGAGAAAAGCTAAGGATCATGAAAAAACTTTCATGAAAATGATCATAAAAGAATTATGACCCTTGGATTACCTTGATTAGTGTGTGGTGCTTTATTTTAAGTGTAATCCAAGAGTCATAAATCTTTCATGATCATTTTCATAAAAAAAAATTCATGATACCTAGTATTGCTCATTATTATATAAGGAAAATGGGGTTTTAAATTTACAAACCTTATGGGAGTTCTAATATCCCAATCTTAATTTAAAAAATTTTTGATTTTAAAAAAAAAAGAACTCAGCATTTATTGACTTCTCCCAACCCACTTTTTGACTTTTCTCATACTTACCCCTACACCCTTTTCAACTTCTCGCATATACTATGGCTAGTGATGGGATTGTTAAATTATTTTTATAAAAAAAATTTAAAAAATAATTAGTATATTAAAAAAATATCTAAAACAAATATAAATTCTTATTAAATATATATATATATATACTATATATTAAGTAAAAGGGGGTTTTTAACCTCAAGGTCTGTGGGAGCCTCAATATCCAAATTTGAATTTTCGAAATTTTTTATTTAAAAAAAAATCAACATTTATTAATTTGGTCAAAATCCCTTGATCAGCATTTATTAACTTTTTTCAATCCACATGTCTTTCCACATGCTTGCATTTATTGATTTGGTCAAAATCCCCTATCAGTATTTAAAATCTCCTCATACAAATAATTATAGATACAATCTGTGTATAGTTACTGCAATACTCTTTTCAACTTCTCTCATGCGCTATGGTTAGTGATAAGATTGTTAAATTATTTTTATAAAAAAATCTTAAAAAACATAATTTAGATATTAAAAAAAAATCAGAGGTTGCGGTTCACTCATCACTCTTCTTTGTTTGTCCGTCTCTCTCTTTCTCTCTGTGTCTCTGTTACTCTTCTCTTTCTCTCTCTCACTCATCACTCTTCTCTGTCTGCCTGTCTCTCTCTTTTTCTCTGTGTCTCTCATCCATCTCTCTTCTCTCTATCTCTTTTCTCTCTCTCTCTCTGTGTCTCTCACTCATCTCTTTCTCTCACCACTCATCTCCTCTACTACCTTCACTACTACTGCAAACGCCATTTCACTACCACCACTACTACCACGGTCGCCATTTCACCTCTACGACTACCATTACTACTACCATCGCCACCACTACCACTATTGCCACTAGTACTACTACTATTACCTATCTTTCACCACCGCCACTCCATCTACTCTACCACTACCATAACTTCACCACTAATCTCCTTCGCCACCGCCACCACCACCACCGTCTCTTATCCACCACCTTCACCACTACTGCCGCTTCCTCTCCTCTACCACAAAATATTACCTCTCTTCTCTCTCTCACTTATCACTCTTCTCTGTCTGTCAGTCTTTGTCTCTATCTCTTTCTTTTTCTCTCTTTGTCTCTCGCTCATCTCTTTTCTATCTATCTCTCTCATCTCTCTATCTCTCTTCTCTCTCGCTCATTTATCTTCTCTCTATTTCTCTCTCTCTGTCTCTCTCGCCCATCTTTCTTCTCTCATCGTCTATCTTTTTCTATGTCTTTCTCTCGATCATCTCTTTTCGCTCTATTTCTCTCTCTCTGTCTATCTCTCGCTCATATCTTGTTTCTCTCTATTTTTCTATATGTCTCTCTCTCTATCTCTTTCTCTCTCTGTCTCCCTGTCTCTCTCTATATCTCTTTCTCTCTTTGTCTCTCTCTCACTTATCACTCTTCTCTATCTCTTTCTCTCTCTGTGTCTGTCTCTCGCTCTTCTCTCTCTCTTTCTCTCTATGTGTCTGTCTGTCTATTTGTCTCTCTCCCCCATTATGTTCACCTTGCTCACTCTCTACCACCACTATTCTATCTCCTCTACCACTACCACAACTTCATCACTTATCTCTTTCACCATCACTTAACAAAAAAAAAATGGGTCGTAAAAAAATATTTTTCATTGGCCACAAAAAATTAACTTTATTTTAATGGAAAATATTATCCCTACTTCTACCAAATAAAAAAATAATAATAATTTTGTATTCATTAAAATAAATATGAAACAAATAAATTTTCAACCTTACTAAATGAAAAAACAAAAACAAAAATTCATTAACTATAAAAAAATTATTTTAATAAAAAATTATTTTTTATAGCAATGACATTCTCCGTTGCAAAAAAAAAAAAAGAGTCATTTTATTATTTGAATATTCATTTGTAATGAAAATCAGAAGAAAAAAAAAATCAAAAAAATTTCCATTCTCCCCCCTTCCTTTTCCATTCCCGCTCGGGTTCCCCCCACCCAAATCCAAAATCCCCAATCTCAAAAATCCCTAATCCCCCCCCTCATTCTTTTCCATTCCAGCTCAGGTTTCCCCCCGCTCCCAAACCCAAACCCAAAATCCTCAATCTCTTGAACCAAACCCTCACTTTCATCCCCAACCTTTTGGCTTTCGCTCTCTCTCTCTCTCTCTCTCTAGAAAACCCGTTCAAAATCACCGTAATTTCGGCCGAAACGTAACCACCAAAACGATAACAGCATTCAACGAGAAGGAGAAGAAGAGTTAGTACCTGAGATGTCGCCGGCGATAGGCGTTGTGTCACAATCCAACCGAGTCCCGATGATGATTCCGGCGACGGTTCAACAAGCTTCTGCGATGATGTCCGAGTCGTTTGCCAAGGACGCGATTATCGCGTGGTTCCGGGGAGAGTTTGCGGCGGCGAACGCCATCATCGACGCGTTGTGCAGTCACCTGTAACAGCTAGAGGGCGGCGGAGGATCGGAGTACGATTCGGCGTTCACTGCGATCCACCGGCGGCGACTGAATTGGATCCCGATTATACAAATGCAGAAGTTCTACTTCATCGCCGATGTCGCGATCGAGCTTCGACGAGTGGCTGAGAAGAAAGTGAAAAACAGAGAGGAAGGCGAGGATGTGAAGAAGAAGAATAACGAAGAGGAGAAGAGTCGAGGAGTTTCTGAAGTGGAATCGACGGAGAGCAATGAAAATGGCGGTGGTGAGGTGGTGGATGAAGATTCGATGAGACATGATTCACCGGAGAGTGAGATTACTGATACATGTATGTATAATTTTAGTAATTTCGATGTTTAAATTTTTATTTTCCTCGCTTTTACATGAATTTTCTGTGTATAGTAAAGTTCGTAGCTTTTATTTATGATTTTTTGAATTATTATTGGAAATAATGATCACGAATTGAGTGTGCGAATAGGATCCGCGTAAATCGGACGCAGATTCTCAGAGTACTCCAAGGCTCTGCGACGTAACGATATCTCTGTCTAAGGGATTGTTTGGAATAACCCACTAAGTACATATTTTTTTTATCTTTTTTTTGATCATATTATTTTTTTATTTTTCTATATATCTTTTTATAAAAATGAGATTAATCTCTTATAAAAATGAGATTAATAACCCACTAAGTATATATCATTTTGATCCCTTCAACTATAAAAACTATACAAATAATGTTTAATTGAGATTAATCTCTTATAATTTTATTGGTTCAATTGGCCTCTATTAAGTAATATTCAATAATGATTTAATCAAATAAAGTTCATGTCGATCCATTAACAGCTCGGCGAGATCTGCCGTATGACTTCCTATGGAGAAATCCTGGCTCTGCCCCTACGTAGCATCATATACGTTGTAGGATACACTTTGTGCTTGTTCTTGGATTTTTCATAGTTTACTCATCCCATTCTTTATCCCTGCTATCTAGAAAACCACTGTGGTCCTTTTGCTGACCTGAAGCTGTTTTTAGTGTTATGTAATTTAAGGAGAGTATTCATTGCAATGGTAACTCAGGAAGCAAACACTTTGAATGCTCATGATTGCTTCCAAAGACACTCACATGTGTATGCACACATGCACACATTCTACCTGGCTGATCTCTTCTTATTTTCTTGTATTGGTTAGATGCAATTAGTCTATATTGTTGACGAACCTGATTGAATAAATACATTCCCTCCTTTCAATCCTTGTAGTATGATGCTGTTGGATGGGCACCAAAGGAGTATAATCCAGACAATAAGCAGCCCTCTGGTGGGCAGGAGCCAAGTGGTGGAGAGGTTGCAGGTCTAAGGATGCTTATTCATTACAATCTGGCTTTGTTTGGGATGAAGCATCTGGCTATTATTATGATGCTTCTTCTGAATTCTATTATGATGGAAATACAGGTATTTATTTATTTGGAAGCTACATTTTAGTTGTTATTTTCCTCATTGTTACTATAAAAGCTGTCTTGATTTTATGTTTATGCATAATATAGGCAAATGTTGCAAGTGTTGTATCATGTGAGCCATAGCCCCCGTGATATCAATGTTGTGTTCTATAAGTGAAAGTTCTGATATGTGTTTCTCATGCAATTGGACTGGTGCACTAGTGTGGCATCCTAAATCTTTAACAATCTTATTCAGTGTGCATCAAATAATTAGTTTCATTAATCATTGGTCTTGTGGTGGCGTTCAATTTTTAAAGGGCCTCTGGTTTGGATTTCTGCTGTCAACTGACCATTACATTGTGACAGCATTTCTATTTTGGAGTTTATGGTTGGCTTGGATTGCTCTGCATTTGTTGATGGTTTTCAGTATGGATTATTTTAAGAAAATATAATTTTAGTAATTGTTACAAGGTTTTTTATATTTGAAATTTTGAGCAGAGCCCCGATATTTCTACACTATTCAGAGAGATGAGAGGAGAGACATCACTCAATAGAATTGTACAACTTTGAGAGCAGTATTTGTTGGGTGCTGCTAACAAACCTATCCAATATACTGATGGGGGATCTTTCTTCCAAATTTTGAGGTTTACAGAGGGTTAATTTGTGGAGATATACAAAAGTTTTCATGAGGAATATTTCTTGAAAATAATTAATATTTTTGTTTTATAAAAAATATTTACTCCTACCAATTTCTTCTTGTGTATTTATTGTCGGTTCATTCACAGATGTCATTTCTCATGAACATATGGAGTCATGGCCACAAGAAGCCTTAAACCCCCCAACTCCATGATATTGTCATAAACAGAGTGAAATGATGATATTTTATATTGACATTCGCAACTTCTCAGATAGAAAATGTCATTATTGTTTTGATTTCAACATCTTCTTGTTGTTTTATAATTGTGAGAAAACTTGTGAAATATTCGTATATCTTCATATTCTGTTTTATACTCTGAAAATTCAAAACAATACTAATCAATGAAGGCATGGTTTGTTAGTTAAAATTGGGTTAGTGGTAAACAAATATGTAACATAAAGTATTAATATTTTTTTTTTATTTTTAATGCCATGATCAGGTGAAGCATATCTATGATAATATGTATTCTATTTTTATGCAAGCATGCTTTATTTTGCTGCTAATGAACTGGACGGGTACGAGTGCTAGTGGAGTAGACCAAATAGAATTTGGTCTAGTTTCTGATGAAGATCAATGTTTTATTTATTTATTTATTCTTGTAACGCCCTCAAAATAACACATTAAACCCATAAATAGAGACATGCATTGGTAATAAAGATAAACATTCTTCTATTCATCAGAGTAGTTCTTTACAAAAGTATTGCATGTTAATCAACAAAAGCAAATGCCCTACGAGCTTACAGCTTTCCAAGTTAACACTTGGTTACAACAAAAGAGTGCTAACTCATTTACACATTAAGCCCTTGGCTTGAATATACATGCAAAGATCACAACATTTTAAGTGATTAAAATATTTAGATCCACATTTTAAGTGGTGATTAAAAAATATTAGATCGCATCGTTTTAAGTGTGATTAATAATATTTAGATCACACATTTTAAGTGAAGATTAAACTATTTAATCACACATTTTAAGTGAGTTTAAAAAATTTAGATCACATCTTTTACAAATTTTAAGTGTGATCTAATATCTAATAAAACATGTGATTAATAATCAGATAAAGATCACACGTTATAGTTATTTGAAGAATGTAATAATGCGATCTTCT